CGGCTGTCCCTCCGTCCCCAGTTTATCCGAGCTGAGGGTGGGGGTGGGTAGTAGGAGTCTCGCGCGTCTTTCCTGGGAGGGGGTGAGGATGTGGACGAGTGGCCTTAGACAACAATTCCCGGCGTTCTGGAACCTGGCGCCGCGGGGGAGCGCGGAGGGGGGGGCGACGGGCGCACTGGAGCCTGGGTGCGGGCGTAGGAGGGTGTCCAGGGACCCCGGCGAAATGCCACCCCACGTCTTGTCAGCCGCGCGATGGGGACGTGGGCGTTCCCATTGAACTCTTCCCCCTGCCGGGAGCAGAGAGCCAGAAAAGGGCCAACCCCCAAACCTCGCCCCGGGATCGAGGACAGTGCCCGGGCCTCTGGGTGGATGGGTTGTGTGGGTGGTGGGTGTTTGGCAGCCTGCTCCTGCGCCCGTGGCCCTCCACTCAAGCAGGAATGACAGTGACCCCCGGAGCATAGGGGGCTTAGGATGCAGTCTAGTCGCTTGGCTCTGGAGCTCGGTAGGAGGATTTGCCTACAAAGTCCCTCACCACCACCACCACCTATCACCCCCCCCCACACACACACACACCCCTGCAACCACCTTTCCTAGGTTTGCATTCTAGAAATTCTATATCCAGCTGTCTCTTTAACGCTCTTAAATCTGACTGCTTAGACTAGGTGCTGTATCCTCTGTAATTCAAAAGACGTGGAGTTGTTTAATCGAGTTGGTAACCGTTTTAGGTGCCCCCTCCCCTTTTAAGATTCCTCTTTTTGGTCAAACTTAAAAAAAAAAAAACACCGGTGTGAAACCATATGTTTGAGTAGTTGTAGCTCTGTCTGTGCAGGCCACCCAGGTACTGGGTGAGGGGGGAGCGGAGGGGAGCCAGTAGAATTCCAAGTCCTTTTTGTACCTATGCCAAAGGAAAGGGAGGGCCATTTCCATTCACCATTGATAGCCTTTAAAAGCACAGAACCATGGACCTGTGTTTACTCTGCAAAGGAGGTTAGTTTGTGTCCCTCTCTTGGTAAAAAAAAAAAAAAAATGCAAGAAAACATTTCTTTCAGGTGTGGGTGTGGGGGGTGCATTTCTCACCTACCTTTACCTTAAAAACAGATACAGCTCTAAGCCTTTTTTGGTCTCTTAGTAGGTTATTTACAATACACCTAGGACTAGTTTCATTGTTTCAAATGTTGGCCCAGACATGGAAAGACATTCTTGCCATTGCTTTTTTTACTTGAGTGTGGGGATGTAAGAGCATGCCCCGCCTAGGGCTGAGAGATCTTTGCTCAGCCAGCCAAGCCCTTTTTGCCACTGACTGGTGTGAGCTGCGGGGGAGCTGGCCACCAACTGGCTCACAGGACTCCCTTTTGCAGAGAACTGTGCTTTGTGCTCCCTAAAGTTTTCTAGGATGCACTGTTGGTGGAAACACCTCACCAGGCCTATCTTCCTATGGAACCGCTGGGTAGTTTTGAACAGCCAACCCTTAGGTTAGTCATCAAACACAAATGGCCTGCACTGCCCAGGTGCTTGCGCTTGACCAACCTAGAGGACAGGCATCCGCAGGGGTGCTCTAATTGAATGTTTCGGCAGTAGAAGGGAGATGGGCATCCTGACACTTACCCCCTGGTGGGTTTGCCCCTCCAAGGGGCACTTATAAAAACAACTGTAAAAGGGGGAGATGTGTTCTTTGAATGTGCCTGGCTGTCAGCCAAAGCCAGTGACTTGCTTCAGTTCCGCTGCCCTGTGTAGAAGGGCCAGGCTGGTGGGAGGCGTGGACTGCCAGAAACTGGACAAACTGGAATTTGCCCCACCGTATCCAGCTGACCCAGGCTTCTTCAGCTCAGCCTCCTTTGTCCTCGTCTGTGAAATGTAGAGGAAGTCTTTCCTCCAGCAAGGTTGTCTCTGGACTCGGATGTGATCATCATCATCATCGTCATCATCTTGAAGCATCTTCAGGGTCTCCGCCAGCCTCATGAGTAGATGAGTAGTTTCCAGTGGGAAGGAGCCTTATGAGCATCCGAAATGAAACATCACTCTCTTCTAGCATGTGAATGTCACTTGCTTTGAGAATTTATAGCAGTTACTGTAATTGTTTTAAAAGGAAGTCAGGTAGTGGGGCGGGGCATTGACTTAATCCCTTGGGCCTTGGTGGTGGTTGCTGCTCCTTTGGACAATTGAATTGAGGCTGATTGATCTATTGACTGTTAATTAGCAATGGAGCATTTCTAAACTAAAAAGGTCACGCACTTGCAGGCAGGTGACCCTGGGTGGTACAAACCGAGTTGTTGAGTGCATGCGCAATTGCTAATTTGGAAACTACTAATCTAAAGGTTGGTACTGGGGGCATCCTCAAAGGCAAGTTGAAAGGCAGGCCAGGTGTTGTGCTGCTGAAAACACTGTGGAGCCCAGTTCCGCTCTGACACACACGGCGGCGCTGTGAGTCACCTCTCTCTGCCTCCACAGCTGCTGGTTTGGTTTCTCGGTTTTTCTTGGTGCACTGGGAAGCAGCATTCAGTCCAGAATGTCCATTTCAGCCCTTGTGAAATTTAAGCCCAATCCCTTTTCTTGAAGCCATCATTGCAAAAGCTTTGGGGGGGGGGGGGGTGTCAGGTGTAAGGTGGGGATTGTTTTGTTGGTCACTATTGCTAGTCCCAATCAGGAGCTCATTCATTGTGAGCAAATTTAAGAGCAAGTCTTTCTTGAACCTGCAGTCTCCGCAGCATTCGTGGCCCTATGGCGTGCTACACAAGGTTCTTGAACACTTGTTCTGTGCGAGGTTCCGAGCTAGGCATTGGGGCCAGGGCAGTCCCCTGTTGCCCCAGGCCCTGCTACCCTGAATTTACCATGAGGGTAATGGCAGCTGATCTGTACTGAGCATTTGCGGGACACCAGGCCCCTGTAAGTGCTTCCGTGGATTATCTTGTGTCATCTTTAGAACAACAAGCAACTTAGTGCTTTCACCTTCCTTCTGTAGCCAGAGAAGGTGAGAACGGCAGCAAGGTTAAGTCAGCCCCATGGTCAGCTGAGAGATCAGACCTGAAAAGCAAGCCCACTGCCATCCAGTCGATGCTGAGGCTGCACATGATTGCAGGAGCGGATCCCAAATCACAAACTCACCGCCATCAAGCTGGTTCCCTAGAGGACAGGGTAGAACTGTCCCTGTTGGTTTCTGAAACCGTAACTCTTCGCAGAAGTAGAAAGCCTCTTCCCTGCAGAGCAGCCGGTAGTTCCAAACGCTGACCTTGTGGTCGGCAGCCCGATGCATGACCCCCCACACTACTGGGGCTAGTCTTTCCCCAACACCACTACCACGGGGCCGCATTGGTTTTAGAAGCATTCAGGTGAAATGCATCCAGTCTGTTACAACCTATAGGGCTGTAGGGCCCCAGGGAGAACAGGTAGCCCATCTCCTGACTGCCATTAGTGGGGGCTATCACACAGCCAGCAACAAGCTGCCTGCAGAAGAGGACACCGTTGGGTGTGGCCTTGGGATGAAAGGGGGTCAAGAGGGTTGGATTTTGTGTTTCCCCCTTAAAGCCCTGCCAAGGAAGATCATCGAAGAAGGTACTGGGTTTGAAAGCTCCCCCTGGAGGGCAGGAAAGTGCTGACACCTGTCTGGGGACATGAGAGCGCTGTTCCCTGGTGTGATGATGCTACAAACGCCAAGATAGAAAGTCCCTGTTGTGCAGGCACAGCGCGACTGCGGATGTCTGGTCAAGCACTGGTCCTCAGTGTGCTGTGTGCTTGGCACCAAATGAAGGCGGAGACCAGGCAGCCCCCTGAGAGCTGGCAGCTGTAAGGCTCTTGGTCCTCCCTTGCCATGCCTGACTCTGCCTTCAGCCTTGACAGGGTTCCTTCCTGTCCCTGATCTCACTGTGGAACACCCCTCCTCCCCCTGGAAGAGGCGGATGGATAGGTGGAGTGTGCTCACACCACGTGACACGGGGTTAGCTTCAGACTGCAAAGCCGCGGGAAATGACTGGCTGGACAGCCTGTCATCTGGCACAGGCCTGCGCTTCCTCCCGTAGGTCCCAGGCGGCCTGGTCCCTGTGGGTGGGACTGGGCATGTCCAGCTGCTCTGGCACGCTGTGCACTTGAGCTCAGGGCATAACTGATGGGCTCGTCCTTGGCTTCAGGTGACTCTGAATTCCGCTTCTGTCATGTGTCCTGGATCTCAGTGGATGAGTGGTTCTCTAACGGCCTTCCAGACGCAAATGGCCTCTGTGGTCCCTTTAATCTTTCATCAAAACTTCGTGGGGCATGCATGTCCATTCCCTCAGAACAAACTGCCCTGAGGGCAGACACTGCAAGTCCCTGGCAGTGCCCACGGCGGGAACCCCCTGCCCTGTTGCCCTCACCCAGGCTGGGTGACAGCCATACTTGCAGAGACTTAGTGCCACGACACCCCTCTTCCTTACAGAGTGCCAAGCCACGGCTGGAAGAAGAGGGCACGGGAGACCCAGCAGGACGTGGCCCCTGCCTGTTCCCCGCCTGTGGAAGCTCCAGCGGCCCTGAGAAGCAACCCGGAGCAGAGATTACTCACCCATGTATGGCGCCTCCTCCCTCGGGACCGAAGCTCCGTGCTTAGTGGTGACATCAATGGCTCGGCTCCCTGTCGGCATCCGCGTCCTCGTCTCCTTCTCAAGGGACCAGTGGTACGTCCTGGGGTGCAGGGTCTTTGGCGTGGCCCGTGCACAGGTTGCAAGTGGACTGCACGGGCCAACTTTTCCGCCCTGATGTCCCCGTAAAGCGCACAGTGTCAGTGCACTTCCTAGGTAACTGTTGAATTGCACTGCTGGTTGGTGGTGGAAGCCAGGGCTGGGAGCAGTGAGTTGTGCTTCCGTCTTTGATTCTGGAGGGGACAGGTAGTCTGGATCCCCTCTGGGGTCTGTAGGGATTGCTGTAATAGTCAGGGTTCTCGCAGGAGCATGGTGACCGTCCGTCGGCAGGGCTATAACGTGGCAGTGAGCGTGCGAGCTCACATGAGGGGCCTGGCTTTCTGAGAACCTAGGAAAGCCCACCACGTCATATTCAAAGGCCCACCATTGACTGTTCTAAAAGGGCCTCTCCTTCAACACTGGGGAGGCCTTCCCCCAAAGCTCACAGCCCAGGAAAGAAGCCAGTGCTGCTGGGGCAGAGTCTGGGCACCCACTCTCTGAGCCCTGAGCCACTGCTGGAAGAAGTGGCTCTTTCCTGCCCCAGCCCCAACTCATGGCCTCCACACACTCTGTGGCCTTGTGGGTCCCTGGTTGTGGGACTGTGACCCAAGAGCCACCCAAGCCACGCAGGTTTGACTAGGAAACAGACTGTTCTCTAACCACAGGGTCCCCTTGTTGACTTTCAAAGCATGTCTCCTGCCCATCCGGCCACAAAGACATGGTTCAGTCCTCACGTTTCAATGAATGCACTTTGTGCATCGACTGCTTTCGTTTTGTAACTTTCTTGCCATGAAGTTTCAAACTCACCGAGGAAAGTTGTAAGAATATGACAGAGGACAACTGCAGCATGCCTGCTCCCTGTTCACATTTTCCCTGGTTGAGTCTCCATTCTGCTCTGTCCTGTTCCGCTGGCTGCCCCTCTCCCGAGCCCTCCTCCCTCCGCCCCCCTCCCCACCTCGCTTCTTCCACACGTACATGCACAGCACATGCTTCCTCTGAACCACTGAGAGTAAGGTATAGACATCGTGGCCTGTTGATAGCTACTTCCTAAGAGCAAAAGCCTTCTCTCTTAAAATCACCCAGATCAGGATATTTCACACCCTTCAATACTATTTGTGATCCAATCCACAGTTGCTATTCTAGATGGCATCGAATATCTATAGTGTCTTCTATAGGTGTTTCTTCCCCATCCAAGATCCTGTGCAGGATGACGCGGTGGCTTCCACTGCCCTGTGGGTTTCGACTCCTGTAATCGGGATCCTCGTGGTCTTTCATGACGTGGACATCCTTTGAAGGGACCAGGCCCGTGCCTTTATAAGCTGCCCCTGGCGTTGGCTGTGTCTGCTATGTCTTCAGGATCCTATCAGGGTGTGCATTGGGGGCAGGAACACCATGGAAGGTGAAGGCAGTCACACACTGGCCCGCATCCTGTGGTGGTGGGTGACAGGAAAGGTGTCCAGGTGTGATCTCTTGGATTTTAGCCTATAAATAAATAGGTCGATGCAGTAATCTTGGTTGTGAGGCGCTGCCCAGTAGGGTCCAACACATAGTGTAGCGGACTCTGTATACACACCACAGCCAAGCGCTGCCTGGTCCTGCACTTCCTCACAGTGGTTCTTAGGGTTGAGCCTGTGTTACAGCCGCTGTGTCCGTCCATCGCCTTGAGGGTCTTCCTCTCCTTCTTGCCACTCCACTTTACCGAGCACAGTGCCCTTCTCCAGGGGCCGGTCTCTCCTGACAACGTGTCCAGAGTGTGTGAGACCAAGTCTCGCCGTCCTTGCTTCCAGGGCGCACTCCGGCTATGTTTCCTCCAAGGCAGAATTGTCTGTCCTGTTGGCAGCCCCGGGTACGGTCCGTATTCTTAACCAGTACCGTCATTCACAGGCACTGATTCTTCTCTGGTTTTCCTGCTTCAGTATCCGACTTTCAGATGCCCAGGAAGTGATTAAAAAGACCACAATTTGGGTCAGCTGCACCTTAGTCCCCACAGTAGCGTCCTTGCTTGTGAACACTTTAAATAGTCCCTGGGCAGCAGATTTATCCAATGCAATGTGTTGTTTGATCTCTGGACTGCGGCTTCCATGAGCATGGATTGTGGATCTAAACAAGATGAAATCCTTTTCAACGTCAATCTTTCCTCCATGTAGCCTGACGTTACCTATTGGTCTGGTTGCGAGGATTTGTGGTGTCTTTATATTGACGCGTAATCACACCGAAGGCTGCAATCCTTGATCTTCTTCAGCAAGTGCTTCACGTCCTTCCTACAACCCAGCTTTGTAGCATTGGCTTAGCGTACCGATTGGATAAGTATGGCAAGGGGATACAACCCTCACAGACACCTTTCTTGAGTTTAAACCACACAGAACTGCAGCTGGGTCCCTATAATTAAGTGTTCCAGGATTCCTGTGCTTCCATACGCTCAACACAGAGTTGAATGCCTTTGTGTAGCAATAGGGGTGTGTGTGTGTGTGTGTGTGTGTGTGTGTGTGTGTGTGTAGAAGGTCCTAGAGAAACACGGAGAGGACCTGAGAGCAGAGCAGCCATGCCCCAGAGTCATAGCTCAGACCAGGTGTTGGCTTCTACATGCCCTTCCTACTCCATGGTGATTCCAGCAGTGGGTCAGGGAAAGTAGACCATGAGCCTGGAGCATCGTCTCCTAGAAAATGCGTTCAGTGCTTCCAGTGGAAGGGACTTTCCCCGGTCAGGTCTAGGAGCATTGGAGACATAAGATAAACCTCCGTAAAAGATGGTAGCTTGCTGAACAACCCAAGACCCTAGTTAGTCTGCGTGGTTATGCAGACAGCATGGACAAGCGGAAGATTGGAAAGCTCTTCCCGCAGCAGAATGCCAGCTAGGTAAGTCAAAGATGGTGCAAGTCGGGCCATCGCCATTCTGTAGCCATTGGAAGAATAATTCATTCAGGCAAAAAATCATCAATGGACTCTAAGCCTGTTGGTAAATTTTCAAGGGACAGGATATCTATGTAACCGCAGATTTCCCTAAATTCCTCAGGCGCTATTTGGGGGGAAGGTGGGTTCATGTGGAGCATCGTGGCAGGTAGCGCCGTGGCCACTTGGTCGGTGGAGTGGCATCACCAACATAGAAACTTCCTGGGCAGGTGCTCTGAGAAGGACACAGTGCCTTGTCTGGGCTTCATCTCTCTCTTTCTTATCTTCTTTTTTTTAAATCATTTTATTAGGGGCTCATACAACTGTTATCGCAATCCATACACACATCAATTGTGTAAAGCGCATTTGTACATCATTCTCCAAACATTTCCTCTCCACTTAACCCCCCAGCATTAAGTCCTCATTTTTCCCCTCCCTCCCCTCTCCCCCCTCCCTCATGAGCCCTTGATAGTTTATAAATTGTTATTTTGTCATATCTTGCCCTGTCCGACGTCTCCCTTCACCCACTTTTCTGTTGTCTTCTTTCCGTTGAGGATGTCACTCTTTGACGAACTTCTACAGCAAATCATGTTGCTCAGTAACTCTCCTCAAAGATAGGTGCGTAGTCCTCATTTGTAACTGAGATAAATACCAAACATGGTGGCCGGCCAGCAAGATGAGTCTCTGAATTTAGAGGCAACTGCTGTGGAGTCCGAGAACACGTGTGATATCCCGAGCCATCTGACTTCACTTTGTGTTGGCATTTGGGCAAAGGTTTGCAGAGCAAACTGGTTTTCCATTCAACAGTTCATGTGGGTCCAGTTCCATGACGTCGGCGGCGGTCCCCGCCGTGTGCCCTCGCCCTGCCACTTCCTGCCTGTGCTGTCCGTTTGCACTTCTTTTCCTGCGTTGGGCATTCCTGGAAAGGCAAATATTTGCCTCTTGATTAGGTGGATGGCTTGAAAGGTGTGTGTGCCTCTCTGGTGTTCATTGTTCGCCCTACAAGACTGTCCATTGTCCTGCTGTCGGCTGAGCCATGGAGGTGAGAGAGCTCCTGAAGCGGGAGCGGAGGGCCACACACCGAGATCAGGAAACCTGCTCTGTACTCGGTCGAGTTTCGTCCCTTGTGTCTCACCCACTCTGTTGTGATCCCTTTCAGAGGGCCCCGCCGTGGCAGTCGGGCACCGTTGGACAAGTCTGCCGCTCTCAGAGAGGTGGAGGGTGAGGTTTGTGGGTTCAGTCAGCTTTGACTAGTTGTTTCCACGTGCCCTGGATTCTCTCCACTCCTCTCAGCTGTGGATGCAGAGAGACCAAAGGACCCACCTTAGATGGCCCAGAGGCCACTCCCCTGAGAAAGATGTGGAGGCAATTGTCCTTGTGCAGGAGGCTCCGGCAATCGACCTTGAGGTCCCCCGGGACCTTTCTAAGGAGGCTTTGAAGGCGCACGTCTGTTCTGTGTTGTTCTTGTGGAGTCCTGCTTCTGACTGGAGAGCCGGCATTAACCCATGTGCTTGCGCTGCCGGCGGCTGCAAAGAAGGCTATATATGACAGAGTGACTGAGACGCTGACGAACGGAAAGATCAGAGAATGTTTTTTAAGTTAGATTTGCTGTAACACTCAGAATCATATGCAACACCAAGCAAGAGCAAGATCGATGAAAGGAGACAAAAGTCACCCCTACCTCCTCACTTTCTAGAAAAGAGGAAGAGGGAAGCGAGGATAGGGTTACAAAGTGGGAAGAGGACTTTGGGAGCACGGTTCAGAGAGCAGCGTGACTCAGCCCAGGACCCAGGCCAGCTTGACGGATACGCAAGGTCTGCTCATGTTCCCGGACGGGCTGTTGGGGGGTCCCTGGGGGGGAGGGGCGAAAATGTGCCTGGTGGGGAGCAGTGGTCAGCCACTGTTTCAGGGGACCACACCAGCCTCAGGCTGCCAGCTCCTCTCCTCTCCCTACACCCTGTGTGAGGGCGACAGTGTGAGAGGACAGTGAGAGAAGAGGATGGGATCAGCAACAGGAGGACAGTTGGCCTCATCCTGGCTAAAAGGTTTTCCTCATTCCCAGACCCATCATGTTTCTCTTGGCAAACTCGGCATTGCCGGGCCGGCGAGCCCTTGGCCTGATGTCGCTGCACAGCTGCCCGCCGAGCAGCCCGCACAGCCGCGGCGGGCAGTCTGTTTCCCTTCCGAATGGCCTGTCATTGAGGGGCTTCCCTTCCGCACAGAGTGGAACCGAGGGTTCCAGAGGCACGGCCCCTCTCTCTGGTCATGAGGGCACATGGGGCACCCTGGGCGTGGGTGACAGCTCAGCCTCCCCTTGCAGGGGCCAGCCATGACAACAGTCCGGAGCCCCGCCGGGCCAGGCTGCCAACCACTGCACGCAAAGGCACCAGCTCAGGGATGAGGCAAGCAGCTCTCAGACCAACAGCTAACCTGAGGGACTGGTCAGGGGAGAGAGGCAGAGCAGGCCCAGGGCCTGGGGACTCTTCTTCACTTTATCTGATCGCACAGAATGATCCCAGGCTGACTGGGTAGAGCCCAGAGCAAGACCTGTATGTCCATTTATGTAGAGGCGTTTGCTCGAGCACCATGCTTATCGAGTGTTTATGAAACTCAAATCCTCGTGGACAATAAAAAGAAGAAAAAGCCAACTCACTCCTGTCAAGTCAATTCCGACTCATGATGACCCCGTAAGGACAGGGTAGAGCTGCCCCTGCCGATTCCTGAGCCCATCCATCCTTCGGCGGGAGTAGAAAGCCTCCTTTGGGGGGCTGGTGAGTCCCAGCTGATGACCCGTGGTGAACAGCCTGACTCGCAATCCACATGCCACCAGGGCTCAAGGCTCCAACCCGTGGCTCCCAAAAGAATGGGTCTGGATATTTCCGTTTGGTCAAAATGCTCGCTCATACTAGAGCTCTCAACAGTTGGCTTTTCGTGCTAAGCGGAACATCAGGTGTCCCTTCTGAGACGTCTCTGGGCTGACTGCCACCTCCCACCTGTTAGCAGGAGCCCCTTAATCATTTGCACACACACACACACACACACACCCGGGGCTGTGCACAGACGGGGAGGGGGTGGGAGGTACGGAGAACAACGGAGAACTATCCCGAAGAATCGGGAGATCTCCTTTCCCTCATCCCTTGGATCGCGTCTCTGGAATGTAAGGGCCGAGCCCATCACAAGGGAGCTCTTCAGAAAGTCACGGACAAACCCCATTATTCTTTTTTAGCAGGTTTTATTGGCTTATAAATCACATCTCACACCATTCAGTAGTTCCACTGCATCAGGAAGAGCTGTGCAGTCCTCACCACAGTCAGTTTTAGAACATCTTCTTCATTCTTGTACCCGTCGCTAGTACAGCCCCATTTCCCCACAACCTCCCTTGCCATCCCCCCGGGAAGCCTGAATTCCGTGACCCTCTCCATAGAAAAATCCCATTACTGTTCAATGCCACGCTCCACAAACTTTCAGAAGCCCCCTCCCGTCTGCACAGTCTTTGTTCTTGGGGCATTTGGGAAAATTGTGCATTGACGTTTTCATCTGTGGTCCTGCCTGGCTATCGGCATGGCTACAGAGAGCAAAGAAAGCCAGCACACTCCCTCGGTACGCTTCTTCGCTAAAGCAGAGACTTAAGGGCACGTCTCTACTCATTTAAAAGTGTTTATTGATGGGACCACCTGTTCCGGTGACCAGAGAAGCAGGTACCACCTGTGGTTCTCGTGGAACTCCCACTGAGGAATAAGTCAAAAGCAGTAAAGGAAGCGGAGCTGAGACTGGAGAACGTGACCCTGGAGAGAGAAGGCCGCCGCACAGGCCAGGCTGTGTGCAGGACAGCACCCCCCATAGCAAGGGGCGCCTGTCTGCACGTGCACAGCGCAGTTAGCAGTTGCTGCCCAAAGTAACCGGGCACTCAAGGGCCACACTAGGCTGGTAGTTCTTAGGGCCTCAGGCCTTCTCTGCTCCAGGACAGAGGGGCTGGCCTCCCTGGCGACAGCCCTTTTTCCATCCTCTCTTGCCTACTTGTTTCTAGACCCGAATTAACATTGGTCCTGTTCCTGAAGGCCCTAGTCTTCTCTCATTTCTGATCCTCATTTCATGAACCCGGGAGCAGGAGGACTGGGGGTCCGCTGACCATCCTCGTGGCTGGTCTGCATCACCGAAGTGTTTTCATTGGGGGCGGCCCACCAGGCTGGTCAAGTGCTTCTATTTTTGCCTTGCTGGCGTGCTTCTGAAAAGTTGCGCAGAAGGACAGAGTTAAAAATAAACATGATCTTAGCGCCCAGGATAGCAGGCTGCCCAGGAAGCGTGTGGTGCATTTGGTTATCAGTGGAATCATCCTCCCATCTTCTCTGCTCTGCAAATCCACGTGTGGTTGTTCTGAGCCCCAAATTTGTCTTGGATTATACTTTTTAAAAATCATTTTATTGGGGGCTTATATAACTTATCACAATCCATACATACATCCATTGTGTCAAGCACATTTGTACATTTGTTGCCCTCATCATTCTCAAAACCAGGGGTCCTCAAACTTTTTAAACGGGGCCAGTTCACTGTCCCTCAGACCCATTGGAGGGCCGAACTGTAGTTTAAAAAATACTATGAACAAATTCCTATGCACACTGCACATATCTTATTTTGAAGTAAAAAAACAAATGGGGCAAAAACACCCGGCGGGCCAGATAAATATCCTCGGCGGGCCGTGGTTTGAGGACGCCTGCTCAAAACATTTGCTTTCTGCTTGAGCCCTTGGTCTCAGCTCCTCATTTTTTTCTCCTCCCTCCTCACGCCCCTCCCTCATGAACCCTTGATAATTTATAAATTATTATTATTATGTCCTTTTTTTTCAAAGGAACGTTTAAGCAGTTCCATTTGGACAAAGCAAAAGTAGTGAAAAGTTGAATGCTGTAATATCGTACTGATATTTATAAGTAGGGTCGTTCTTGGCTCACTGAATTATAAATAACATAACCAAGTTTAAGAGTAGTTAAAATGTATTCCGAACGCATCGCGTATCACACTCTCCCACGTCTTGTGTTTCAGGTACAGAGCCTTCACATTCTTCTTGACATTTTTGCTGTACGCAAGTTTCCACTTATCTCGAAAGCCCATCAGCATAGTTAAGGTAAGCAATCAGAAAAGGAAGCCTCTCTGTTTCATATCGTGGCTGGGCTATCATCCGTGCAGTGCTCGGCCAAGGGGAGGAGGTGGGTGGTGAGGGAGCAGAGAAAACAGAGCTATGGGCAAGGCAAGCAGCAAACGATTCTGCTCCTTGGATACTTGGTTTCCCGGGTCTGAATTCTCTAGATTTCCCTTTTCTGAAATGAAAATCCTTCATTTCAATGTGAATCTTAGGATTTATCGTTTTGGAGTTCTGTACTTTCCCTGGGCAGGAGCCCTGGTGGTGTAGTGGTCCTGATCCCATGGTCGGCAGTTGGGAACCACCATCGGCTCCTTGGGAGAAAGACTGGGCTTTCTACCCCCGTCAACAGTGACAGTCTCAGAGCCTCACGGGCGCAGATCTCCCTGCCCTGCAGGCTCGCTGTGAGCTGGCATCGACTTAATGGCAGTGAGCACACTTTGAATGAAGGAGCCCCCACGGCATAGTAGGCTATGTGTCGGGTGCTGATTTCAAGGCTGGCTGTTTGAATCCACCAGCCCCTCTGCTGGTAAAAGATGAGGTTTCTTTTTCTCCTTGCATAGCTTGGTCGCCGTGGCAAATCCTCTTTAGGGCCACTGTGAGTGGGAATCCACTCGGTGACAGTGGATGCTCTCAATCAGAAGGCTCTGGGTGGGCACAAAGGGTTAAGTGCTACTCTTGACTGAAAGGGGGAGGCTTTGAGTTCACCTGGAGGCACCTCCGCCGAACGTCCTGGTGTTGGACTCATGCTTCTGAAACAGCAGCTGCTGAAAGCACTGGGGCGCCCGCAGCTCCACTGGACACAGGTGGGTCAGAGGCCACCGGACGGCGGCTGGCACCCGTCGTCGTCCTGGCTGACAGTTTCAGAACTATAAAACTTAATGAGATATTTCTTTTGTGTAAAATTCACCCTCCACCCCAGTACGTGGTAGTTCTCCTGTTTCCTAAATTGCTTCACATCTGATTGTGTTTGACACGAAGTCAGCCGGCGGTGGTGAGTCTCCATTCTTCATAGAACACCCAGTTGCCTTTGGAATGACGGGGTGAGCTGGAGCTTGTTAACTAGTACTTAACGAGACGTCGAGAAAGGAAGATTAAAGCAGATGATACCGCGTAATAACCGGCTATGACGTGGTCATTTCCTTATTCTCATGAAGATGGCAGTATTTTGGGTACAGACCAGTCTGCAGACTTGAATGGCTTTTGACTCTTGATTGTAGACCCAACAAGGAAATTGTTGAGGGCCAAAGATAGCTCATTCCTGGTTACGTGGCCCCTTCCCTCACTTCCCTGCCGCTGGCCGGGATTCAGGCCTGTAATTGGATTGGGTTGACCTTTGTATCCGACTTCTTCCACAGCCACAGGCTGCTGAGCACCGAACAGCTCCTCTCTCTGGCCTTAGGCCAGGGGGAGAGGCAGCACTAGACGGGCTACTTCGGTGGATGCTGCTGTGTTCTCTGTTTCCAGTAACTGGCGTTGGGTATGAAGCATCACCCGGTTCCTCAGAAAGCCCTCACATGCTTCCCTGAACCCTAGGAAGCAGGAATTGCCCTTGCCCGCCACGTTTCAGGTGACTGCAGCTCAGAACCAGAGAATATTGTCTTCCTAGCAGAGATAAGGATGGGGACACAGGTGTGGTGCCATCGTAAACTTGTCATTTACGGGATGCGTGATGCTAACTAACATCCATCGGAATGATGTTGGAGGTTGAACTTGATTTATTCTGGGTGGGTAAACAGTGGTGGCCAGTGGTGTCAACAACATTTATTGAATAAGCGGGGTTCCCCCCCCCTATTTCTGTCGCGTATTCTACATTTTCTGTTCCACTCCACTGACCCATTCCCTTGCCAGTAACATCCTTTGATTAAAGCCAGTGGTCACGAAGTCGGTCTGCATGCGTGGCAGAGAAGAACTGTGCTCGTGGGGGGTTCAGTGAATGGTGTTTCACAAGTAGATCATCAGGCCTTTCTATGGCGAAGTACGAACTCACAAGCCGCTCTGATGGAGAAAGACTGGGCTTTCTACTTCTGTTAAAGAAGTGCCGTCTTCGGAGCTCACAGAGGCAGTTCCACCCTTGCTATAGGGTCACTGTGAGCCTGCATCGGTCTCATGGCTGTGAGTTCTCCTGGGTGGACTAGACCCTGCAACCGTCAGTTAGCCTCCAGGAGCATTCACCGTAATGCCTGGGTACCGCTTTATTTACAGTGGCTTACATCACTTTATTACAGCTGCTTAAAGTAGACTCATGCCGTCCTTTCTACATTCTTCTAAACCTTGTCTCATAGAAACCTCAAGGTCATTTCATTTCCGTTGATGGGGAGGAGGGGGGAGCTGGGGTTTTCTTTGGAGCTGAATCACATTTAAATAGCAATACAAAGAGCATTGGAACTCTGAAGATAGCAAGTTTTCCCACCCGCATCACGGCTACTTCCAGTCTTTCAAATTCGGCTTTTCTGGTGGCCACTTAGAACCTGCTGATTTTCTTTCTGCAGCCTGTATGTGGCCGGAGTGAGCTGCCCACCGTCACCGTCCCTCCGGGCGCTCATTTCCCTTGGGGTTCAGGGACCCCTGTGGCTGATGTTCTTCCCAAGAATTCCCACCCTCCCATTATAAAAAGCAGGTGACAGATATAAGACATTAACCATCCTGGAATAAAATTAGGATCGTCTTAGGCGTATGGCCTTGGCAAGCTCAAAGAGCAGTGGACTATGGCCATGAGTAGGCAGGTCACAGACTTGGCGTTCATCGTTCCAAGAGCTCCATGAAGTACACTCTCGCTTACTAGACTTCACAAGTGCAAATTTAAGCGTATGAAGAGGCTTAAAAATGTTTGAAGTCCATTATCATTCAATCCTGTTTTCCCATGAACTTTTAAAAGTGTCATACGTATCATTATTTATTTATAGTAACAGTTTTACTAGCGCTTCATCCACATGTCATACAATTTAATAATTCAGTCATATCAAGACGAGTGATACAGTGGTCACCACGTTAATTCTAGAACATTTTCTTCTTCTTTGTACTCACTGTTATTTGTGTAATTTTTTTCTAATTGTGGCCAAAGTGTACACCATGAAACACTTCCAGGTTCCACAGCTCCTACGAATGTGTATTTCAGTGTGTATAATTCAGTGCCATGGATTATACTCTTCATGTTGTACAACATTATTGATTTCCTTTTCCAAATGATTCCACCACCAGTAGCATAAACTCAGTGCCCCTTAAAGAACTCTTTCTCTTTCCCCCGTAGTAACCACTGGTCAAGTTTAGTTTCTTTTTCTTTCTTTTTTAAGTAGTTTTCTTGATATGATATTCACATATCATGCACTTGGATGGTTAAGTCGTTTTAAAAAGAGTTGTATAGACACCATCACGATTAGTTCTAGTGCGCTCTCCCCCAACCTGAATTCATTGTTTGCGCCCCCAAATTCCCTCACCCTCTCCACCTCCCACCCACCCTCCACATCCCCATAAACCACTACATCAGCTCTTGTCTCTATGCCTCCACTCCTTCTGTGCTTTACATACGGGGAAATCCAACAGAAACAAAAACTGCAAGAAGAAAATAATAATAATACAAATAAAGCGTAATAAAGAAAAAAACCACCATTAATATTTAACAGGGAAGAATAAAAATTACAGAGAAGAAATTTCTGTAGTGGAACAGGTCAGACATACTTGAGCCTAGAGCAAATTCGGTTTGGTCAATAGGGAGGTCAGCCCACCACGGATCATACCATGGTTCAGTCCACCATAATTGACTACAACAGTCTCTGTCTGACAGTAGCACCCCTCACCTGTGGCTACAGGGGATCTGCCAGAGGCTTCATCTAATGGGGTGTTTTGCAGCTGGATTAGGGGCTCCCACTGCCCTCCACAGCCTTCTACAGATTGGCTGTTCACCATTTAAGCTCTGATACTTTTCCCATATTTGGATTCTGTTATTGTCATCTTTGAATCACACGGGCTGGTGGGCTTCTTCCGTGTGGACGTAGTTGACTCCTCACTTAGATGGCTGCTTGTTTAAATACCAGCCTTTAAGACCCCAGCCACTATTCCAATTGATAGCCAGGCACCCTCTGCTTTCTTTACACTTGCTGTAGCACGCTTAACTTCAGTGATCATTCCGTGAAGACGAGTGTTGAGCAGGGCTATGTTATAAAAACTCTGTTCGTGGACTGGGGCTGAAGTTAAGTGGGCGCCCAGAACCCATCTGCTCGTCCCTGGCTTATGAACGACTCCGGTTACTTTGGCAGTCAAAGGATGACAAAAACAAAAACTCACAACAACAAAACAAAGGGTAGAAAAAAAAAACAACAACAAAGAAACAAAAAAGAAAAACATTGTTAATCATCCCCCTGGGGTATAAGGCAAATGCATTGATAACATTGATAATGTTTCCAATGGCATAGAATTTAAGAGACTGTTGCTATGAGGAGTTTATGTGAGTCTCGTTCAACTAGAAGCTGTCATCCATGAGTTGTTGCTTGTCCAGAGTGATTTCTTAATTGATTGAGATCTGCTTATGCTGAGCATAGGGATTGGTGCTACAGGGAAATTTCCTGTATCAGTTCTTACAGGTGCCGATCCTTGCCTAACAGATTAAAACCTGTCATATTAATGCCAGGGGACCACTGAGGTAGATGGTGGTTCTGGGTCCCCTTTCATTGAACCCAGACCCACTAATCCAGGAGTCCCATCTAAGGTCCAACGATCATCATTCCCACAGTCTTGGGGTGTCTACCCTTTGCTTCCTCTCCCATCAGAGTGCTTCAGTCCTAAGGCTCAGGGTACAGGTAGTTTTGAGGTCGGGCCCATTTCGTTCAGTCCACAAGGCCAGCCTGTAAAGCCAGCGTCTTAGGGCATCATGGTGCTCAGTGCATGGTGTGATTCACCGAGGGCTGGGTAGAAACATGTCCATAGTGTCTACCCAGGAACATAAAGTCGAGTTTATGGCCCCTGTACGCCCCCTACAATTGTTCACC